TGTGGTGTGAGAGTGGTGTAGGGGTGGTGTGGTGGCTGTTGGTGTGAGGTGGCGTAGGGGTTAGGGTGTGGTGTGGCTGTGCGGTGTGAGGGTGGTGTAGGGATGGTGTGATGTGGTGTGGCTGTGTGGTGTGAGGGTGGTGTAGGGGTGTTATGGTGTGTTGTGGCTGTTTGGTGTGAGGGTGGTGTAGGGGAGGTGTGATGTGGTGTGGCTGGGTGGTGTGAGGGTGGTGTAGGGGTGGTGTGGTGGCTGTTGGTGTGAGGTGGCGTAGGGGTTAGGGTGTGGTGTGGCTGTGCGGTGTGAGGGTGGTGTAGGGATGGTGTGATGTGGTGTGGCTGTGTGGTGTGAGGGTGGTGTAGGGGTGTTATGGTGTGTTGTGGCTGTTTGGTGTGAGGGTGGTGTAGGGGAGGTGTGATGTGGTGTGGCTGTGTGGTGTGAGGGTGGTGAAGGGATGGTGTGGTGGCTGTTGGTGTGAGGTGGCGTAGGGGTGGTATGGTGTGGTGTGGCTGTTTGGTGTGAGGGTGGTGTAGGGGTGGTATGGTGTGGTGTGGCTGTGTGGTGTGAGGGTGGTGTGGGGCTGGTGTGATGTGGTGTGGCTGTTTGGTGTGAGGGTGGTGTAGGGGTGGTACGGTGTGGTGTGGCTGGGTGGTGTGAGGGTGGTGTAGGAGTGGTGTGATGTGGTGTGGCTGTGTGGTGTGAGGGTGGTGTAGGGGTGGTGTGATGTGGTGTGGCTGTGTGGTGTGAGGGCGGTGTTGTGGGTAGTGAGTGGTGTGGTGGCTGTGTGGTGTGGTGTGACGGTGGTGTAGGGGTGGTGTGATGTGGTGTGGCTGTGTGGTGTGAGGGTGGTGTAGGGGTGGTGTGATGTGGTGTGGCTGTGTTGTTTAAGGGTGGCGTAGGGGTGATGTGATGTGGTGTGGCTGTTTGGTGTGAGGGTGGTGTTGTGGGTAGTGAGTGGTGTGGTGGCTGTGTGGTGTGGTGTGACGGTGGTGTAGGGGTGGTGTGGTGGCTGTGTGGTGTGAGGGTGGCGTGGTGGGTAGTGAGTGGTGTTGTGTGGGGATGGTGTTGTGTGGTGTGGTGGCTGTGTGGTGTGGTGTGACGGTGGTGTAGGGGTGGTGTGGTGGGAAGTGTGGTGTGAGAGTGGTGTGGTGGCTGTGTGGTGTGATGTGACGGTGGTGTACGGGTGATGTGGTGGCTGTTGGTGTGAGGGTGGTGTGGTGGGTAGTGAGTGGTGTGGTGGCTGTGTGGTGTGGTGTGACGGTGGTGTAGGGGTGGTGTGATGGGTAGTGTGGTGTGGTGTCGGGGGTAGTTTGGTGTCGGGGTAGTGTGTGGTATGGTGTGGTGGGTAGTTTGGTGTTGGGGGTAGTGTGTGGTGTGATAGGTAGTGTGGTGGTTAAAATCAATTGCCTGTCACGTTGCAGATCCGGGCTTGAAATTCATTCCCCTGCCTTGTATTGCTGTACTATATCTATTTCAAAATGCGAACACCTTTCCACTCACTACCAATGTGTGGAATCGAACCCTGGAATTTCCGTGAGCACACAAACTACTTAACCACCACATATATATGATACCAAAAGCCACATCGGGAAACACAATACATATAAAATGATAAATCGAAAGTCGACACACGCGTTGCCAGGGTATAGAAGCGAACCAGGGAGTGCGTGACGGGTAAGGGCACCATCCACTAGGCCATCAGTGTCCCTATAGTCCGCTAAATGGCCTCTATTCCGTTGGCAGTTGTAACGGGAGAATCCACCTAAGACTGGTGTTATCAGAGGAGTCAAGTGAACTTATCTGCCAGAGGTATTACCACGCCATTAAGTTTCTTTTGGCTCTGGTTATTAGCAAGCTACATGTAGGCCACTATTGGGCCTCGTTGCTATGTTAACACGTTAGTGTTTGAGATGTTCTTCTGTTGTGAGACAGACATTAGTGAGAAAACGGGTACAGTTTTAGAAACAATTAAATACCCTTGTTATGTGGGTAATGTATCGTCTTACGCATCACCTGTGTTTGTCCTGGATCTTGGTGGGTAGCTTAGTGGTAAAAGCGATTGTCCGTCACATTGGTAGCCGAGTGGTTAAAGTGATTTTCCGGCACCTGGGTAGCCTTTTGGTTAACGCTATTGCCCGTCTGCCCGTCGCGTGGTTAACCGAGTGGTTAAAGCTAGTGTCCGTCACATGACTACCCGATTGGTTAAAGCGACTGCCCGTCACGTGAGTAGCCGAGTGGTTAAAGCGATTGCCTGTGACGGACAATGTACATCAGTATCACATGTATATCCCCGGTTAACACATGTATATCCCCAGTATATCATGTACATATGCCCAGTATCCCATGTATATCCCAAGTGTACCATGTATATCGCCAGTATTCCATGTATATCCCCAGTATCCCATGTATATCCCCATTATGCCATGTATATCGCCAGTATCCCATGTATATCCCCAGTTTACCATGTATATCCCCAGTATTCCATGTATATCCCCAATATACATATCCCCATATCATATATCCCATGTTTATCATATAATGGGTAGGTTTCTCGGCAGGATAAAGGGAACGGGGAAAAAGCGATATCCGTTGGGGTCATATACGGATAGAGATGCAAATATCAAAGGTCAAGTTAGGGCTCGGGTCTTTGTTTATGTACATCTTAAAAGAAGTTGAGGACCAACGATTTTTTCATATTTTTATAGTTAGTATGCCGTGACAGATTACTTGTGGTAATTTAAAAAATGAGGGTGGTCCTAAACTGCTTTTGCGTAGTATACTTTCAGTCACTGGATTGTCTAGTCCAGACTCGAATGTTTACAGGCTGCCATCATATAGCTGAAATATGGCGTTCACCAACAAACAAACAATGGAATATAACTGAAATACTGTTAAACTCGCTGACTATATTGCTGACTAAGGTATCTGGTAAAAATCACTCATTCACCCTTGCAATTAGCATATATGTTGTGACCTTGGACAAAAGTAGTGGCAAGGTCAGGTGAGGTGAGGTTGGGTTTAACGTTGCGATCAAGGCCTTTGCACATATATACAGCGTGTTTGGCTGCTTGAACGTGTCAACACTAAACCTTTTTTTTATCTCCTTAATGCCGAGCGCCAGGCAGGATAATAACATGTGAACAAGAGACATGTAGTTCCTTAATAGAATGATGTATTTTATTAAACCTGATACCTAACTTTGTTTCGGGGCCAATCATGATTTCAAGCATCTGTCTGTAAAGGTTCCATTTGCTCTCCATTGCCATGTTAGAATCAGAGACAGTTATTTGAGGTCGCGGCTGAACACCTCCTTTACAAGTTAGCCACGTATGAAACTTTAATTGCGTGAAAAGAAACGAGCTTTTCGGTCTGTAAGTTCAAAGTGTCTTATAATACATAATATTATCAAGATGTTGAAATGCATCAAATATTCATTTTTCAAAACCGAATTACTGCGACAATCATTTATATACGCTTTACCGTCCGCGGTCTATTGGGCCACGTTTCAGATTCCGAGTGAAATGACCAAGTCTGTTAGCTATTATCGGCTATGTATTGCTTCATGAATTTTGAAAAAGTCAAGCACCGCTGCCCATTTCATCCAGAAATTGCTTCCACTCGGCACTTGGTCGTCTGCTCCTGTCGTCTGCTGGGCCTCGTGCCAACACGTGCTGCACGGGAACGGTCGTCTGCCATTGTTGATGAAAACACTGGCTTATGCTGTACAGAAGAAAATAAAACGGTTGGGGTCTTTTTTCTGTTTGGCATCCGACATAGTAGCCCTGACATGGAAATATGGCGAGAATTTGCAACAAATACCAGCCGAACTTAAGGAGATGGAGACTAAGTCGAGTTCAGTTAAAGTACAGTCCTTTTAGCACATCCCCCTCCTATAATGGATGATAAGTTGTACGTTTGTCAAGATGTTTAAAGTCGCTTTTAAAGGTGGATAACTTTTTTTCAGATTTGTTTGAAAGAGCATCAGTTGGGTTCATTGTCGCTGTTTACAGTAATATATTTATATCACGGTGCTTCAGCTTAAAACGTGCTGTCTGGAACCTGCGTTTAAAGAGGTTTCATGTTGGAATATGGAATAAAAAAGTGGATTCCTGAACAACGGCACAGATCGATTCGATCAACAAACAACGGTTCGGCATGACATTGAGTGCTCATGAACGATTCAACAAGACACGAGAGGGTTAATGAATGAGTCGGCATGATACTTGAGTTTATGAATGATTCGGGGTGAGACGAGAGTTTCTGAATGATTCGGCATGACACGAGTATTTATGAATGATTCGGGATGACACGAGAGTTTCTGAATGATTCGGGATGACACGAGAGTTTCTGAATGATTCGGGATGACACGAGAGTTTCTGAATGATTCGGGATGACACGAGAGTTTCTGAATGACTCGGGATGACACGAGTGTTTCTCAGTGATACGGGATGACACGAGTGTTTCTGAATTGATGGCCAATAAACAGCTGTTCCATGTACAGGTACCGTGCGATGTAGATATAAAATATATTCCTAAAGACAGTCGTTTTCTTCTACGGAAAATGTCAAGATGCCTGTTAGACATTTTTCATCTGTTTTGGGCGGGCGGGTAGCCTAGTGGTTATTTAAAGCGTTCGCTCGTCACGCCGAAGACGAAGGTTCGATTCCCGACATGGGTACTATGTGTGAAACCCATTTCTAGTGTCCCCCGCCGCTGGTATATTGCTAAAAGTGGCGTAAAACCGTACTCACTCATCTGTTGTGGTAACAAGAGCGTGTACATATTGTTATGGATATAGCCAGTGGACCAAAACAGTTGCCAGTTCCTGGTGCTCAACAATTTGAACATGTATTACTCTAGGTGTTTACGAGAGTTGAGACGGTTAAAAAAACTGAATTGAAACAATGTGTTGAAATAGTGATAAAATACATGTGTTTCCAGAGAATTTCACACAATCGCAACACACCATTACAATTAAATATATTTCGGAGTTTTGTAAGTCTCGGGAAGTTGGGACCAGCTGGCTTGTGGGTATCCAGGTGCTGAGGACATTAGCGTGGTAACACGTGCCTCATTTGTACAGATTCCCTAACGAGGGACCCGATAACAACACACAACATCTCTGACCAATGGTCATTCCCAGATAGGCTTGGACACTGATGAACGGACACTGATACTGACCAATCATCACCCGTGCACCTTGAAAAGGTAATAATTGAAGATATCGCCACAGGTGGTGTGTGGTATGAGGTGGATCAAACCACAGTACTGGTAATTAAGTTCCTTTCGTAGCATCACTCACCACATAAGCGGCGCGTGTTTCAATATTGTATGGAGATATATAGAGGGTTTGTACAATGATTTATAGTGAGGGAGTGAGTGAGTTGGGTTTAACGCCGCTTTTAACATTATTCCAGTTATATCACGGCGTGTCAGCTTAATGTGGGAGGAAAGCCCGAAGTGATGCAGGTGTAAGACGTTTACCACTTCGGTGAAACCCACGAGCACGGGTATGGTGCTGACAAACCTAGAAACATATTTGGGGCGAACCGGGATTCGAACCCACAATCATAGGTTTCTGGCGTGCCCAATGGACGCAACTCTGCACAGCAAATCGCGGCGCCTTAGACGACTGGGCCACCCGTGCCCCCCAATGATTTATAACATTACAAATGTATTAATAATTGTTAATGACAGCTGATCTAGAAGAATATGTATGATGTGGCAAAATGTATGGTACGTTTCAATCCTAATTTCATATCTTAAAATTCAGTCATTGAAGACATTTATTTACAATAACACGGCGGTTTCTACGATATCTCTTAACATACAATAAATGAACACCCTCAATGAATTCCTTGTTATCATTTTTAAATATTTATACGGCTCAAAATGGAACCTTGGAAATCCGCACTCTTTATAATGCCCAAAATGAAAATTTTGTTGCAATGGTGAAAAATAGAGTAATTTGTTTTGTGGAAATTACACAAACGTCAACATTTTTGTGTCAATAATGAAAATGAATAGATTGGTTGACGGACCAGACAATCCAGTGATTGACATCATGAACATTGATCCATGCAATTGAGATACGATGACATGCATCAACCAAGTCCGACCACCCGATCCCGTAAGTCGCCTCTTGAGACAAGCATGGGTTGCTGAAGGTCAGGTCTAATCCGGATTTCGCGGTTGTCTAACGAATGAAGGTATTTACATACCATTCGTAAGAGTCTATGTCCGCACAGCTTGGGCTATCAACATCGCCAATTTGACCATCACCATCCTCATCACAATTACTTCAATCTTCATTGGAGGCCACAGGTGGCCCAGTCGTGACAATGCAGAGTTATGTCCCCTACGGGTGCCAGTATCCAAATCCCATATTTGCTCCGATTAAATGGGGTTTTCCTCTCACATTAAGCTGACACGCCGAGAAAAAACAGAGTGACGTTAAACTCACTCACTCCACCCGTGAAATAACAGCTAGAGTGAGGTTCAACTCACTCACACCACCTTTATGGCATTGCCATCGTCATGGTCAACATCGCTTACTGACTTGTTCTTTTCATTCTCGTAACCTTCGTCTATAACCATATATGATATGATAACATAAACGTCATTGCATGATGTGCATCAGCCGCCTTATCATCTGTTTTACGTCTTCTCGTAGGGACATTAACACATATTATTGGTTTTCCTAAACATATTTCAGAACTGACTTGACAGGGGCGGCATTAAATAATTGTAGTTAATTATATCTTAATAAGTAAACGTAGGTACATGTTCATCGTGACCTGTTTTCACCAGGCCCCATTGGCTGAAAGTATGGAGAGACGCTGATGTCATGGGGTATCACGGCAAGGTTACCCTGTAACTCTGACATACTAGACCCGTGAAGATCCAGGGTAGAAAAGGTCTTCAGCAACCCATGCTTGCCGTAAGAGGCGATATGCGTGTCGTAAGAGGCGACTAACGGGATCGGGTGGTCAGGCTCGCTGACTTGGATGATGCCTGTGATCGTATAACAATTGTGTGGGTCGATGCTCATGATGTCAATCACTGGATTGTCTGGTCCATACTCGACTATTTACAGACCGCCGTCACATAGCTGGACTATTGCTGATTGCAGCATTAAAAAACAAATAAACAAACAAAAGATGTGGTTATTATGTTATTTTTCAAAACAGGCTTCCACGGAGATGTCGCTTGGGTGAGATCTTTTTTTTAAAAGTGATCTCTCCTGGGAGATATCGCTACAATGAAACTGCATGACAATGCTTTGCAGACCATTGTGACGTCATTGTTACCATGACGTCACAATGAGATGACTCCACTGAATCTCTCTGCCACTGTAAGATGGTTCCCGGCTCCCCTTGCGCCGCGTTATGTTGTGATATTAGAGACGAGGCCCAGCTCATCTGCCTCAGAAGCTGGTCAGCTGTACTTTCACATTCGATACACTGGTTATAACCGTTTATAACCGAGAAGAGTAAGACTGGTTTTATGGATGATAAATAGAATCTCACCCTTGTGTCTTTTGGTATCAAATACATCAACACTCATCTATAGCCTCGGAGTTTTAAACTTTCATATATATTTTATATCAACAGGCACAAAGGTCATATTCTCTATTTCATGTCCAGTTATTAATCTAATGCCGAAGATCCAAAGGAAATTACACCATTTCTATAAGCAGGTAGTCAATCAAAATCATTTAAGAATAATAACAAGAAACAAATTTTATTCGCATTTCAAACTGTCCTCTCGCGACAACAGACATCCATCAAAGCTAACAAATTGCTACTGTTTGTCTTTCATTCATCGTCGCTTGACCATCACCCTGTCCAGTCTTCACTGTTCGTCCATCAGTCTCCAGGCGCTTATCTACGCCATGGCCAGCTTGACCAGAGATGCGCGTGCAATGGTGTCCACCTATCTGTTCCTCTGCGCGCGCTATCTCTACAAATTGGTCCCTGTCTCTTTAAATCTTTCAGCGGAGGTGTTCCCGGGCGGGCACCTGCAGGAGTTTAATTACTGCCTCTGTTTGATAACGTTCTACCGCGAGAAAGCACGTGGGGTCAATTCGTTACTGATAAAGTTACGATCACGACGTGGATCAAAGCGAGGCTGATTATTGGATTAAACGATGAGTGCGTATTTTGCACGTGCAAACTGACAATGGCGGAAGTTCAGACCTTTTTTTGTATAATGGAGACAGATTCGTCAAATCGTCCATAAAATCTTCGCTGAATGAAGAAAATATGTCATATTATGATTAAGTGAGTGAGTGAATTGGGTTTAACGCCGCTTTGAACATGTTTCAGTTACATCACGGCGTGTTAGCTTCATGTGGGAAGAAGGCCAAAGTGGCGTGCATCGAAGACGTGTACCACCCACGAACATGGAAAATGTGACGAAAGCCCCCAACCTCAGTGAGATCTGCTCACCGAATTACGAAGCCTCGTTGAGGTATGGCCACTGTTGTGGGTGTGGGTATGCATGTGTTTCTTTTGTTTGTTTGTTGTTTAACGCCGCACTCAGCAATAGTCCAGCTATATGACGGCGGTCTGTAAATAATCGAGTCTGGACCAGACAATCCAGTGATTGACATCATGAGCATCTATCCACGCAATTGTTATATACGATGACATGCATCAACCACGTCAGCGAGCCTGGCCACCCGATCCCGGTGTGCATGTGTGTGCGTGCATGTGTACATACATGGTCGAACGACCCCAAAATGTGAGAGTTCCGTGATGGGAGATCACCTACGTGTGAGAGTTCCGTGATGGGAGATCGCCTACATGTGAGAGTCCCTTGATGGGAGATCGCCTACATGTGAGAGTGATGGGAGATCGCCTACATGTGAGAGTCCCGTGATGGGAGATCGCCTACATGTGAGAGTTCCGTGATGGGAGATCGCCAACATGTTAGAGTCCCTTGGTGGGAGATCGCCTACATGTGAGAGTCTCGTGATGGGAGATCGCCTACATGTGAGAGTCCCGTGATGGGAGATCGCCTACATGTGAGAGTCCCGTGATGGGAGATCGCCTATATGTGAGAGTCCCATGATGGGAGATCGCCTACATGTGAGAGTGATGGGATGGGTGATCGCCTACATGTGAGAGTCCCATGGTGGGAGATCGCCTACATGTGAGAGTGATGGGATGGGTGATCGCCTACATGTGAGAGTCCCATGATGGGAGATCGCCTACATGTGAGAGTGATGGGATGGGTGATCGCCTACATGTGAGAGTCCCATGGTGGGAGATCGCCTACATGTGAGAGTCCCGTGATGGGTGATCGCCTACATGTGAGAGTCCCGTGATGGGAGATCGCCTACATGTGAGAGTCCCATGATGGGAGATCGCCTACATGTGAGAGTCCCGTGATGGGAGATCGCCTACATGTGAGAGTCCCGTGATGGGAGATCGCCTACATGTGAGAGTCCCATGATGGGAGATCGCCTACATGTGAGAGTCCCGTGATGGGAGATCGCCTACATGTGAGAGTTCCGTGATGGGAGATCGCCAACATGTGAGAGTCCCTTGATGGGAGATCGCCTACATGTGAGAGTCCCGTGATGGGAGATCGCCTACATGTGAGAGTCCCGTGATGGGAGATCGCCTACATGTGAGAGTCCCGTGATGGGAGATCGCCTGCACATGAGAGTCTCGGTATGTTTGGCACAGAATTATATACTTTATCACTTTTAAAAAGCATTTTCATGTTTTTGTAATATTTGGAAAAAGGGTAACAAAGATATAATTAAATGGCTCTTCGTACTTAGGCATGAGGTAACAAAACACAACACTGTCGTCGTTCGGGTTCGAATCTCATTCGATTGGTTTCGTGATTAACTTAAGCACAAAAAACTATGACTGATGCTTTAACACACACGATGATGCGTTTTCATTGCCTGTCAGTATATTAAGATTAAGAAGTAACATATTTGGTCTTTTGTGCAAATTACATATGTGGAATTACCCCCACGAAAACGTAGACCACACACACCAGATTGCAATACCACTACTATTTCCATGTATTTACGCATCATTTTTACAAGTAGTATCGGTAAGTATTCATTTTCATAATTCAATATTCTTTTAATTTTAGGGCATACATGGAAACCAGCCGTTAACGCCTGTGCCGATGTGATTCACTTACAATAGAGTCAAGAGCTACCATGTCTGGCAGAAACTGGGAATGAAATAACATGGTAATTCCGTGCATTTAGACGCAGTGAGTGATGTCAATAAAAATCCCACATTTTGTAATAACCACATCAAAGAGAGCAGTAAAATACTGACATGGTGACCACTTTCAGAAATAATATTTCATAATTTTGTGAAAACGCATGTTTAAACACACTTTGATCTTCAGACCCTTTAGAGGGTATCAAGTCATCTTGATTGGCCCACCGACTTAGGGGTCTCATTAACCGCAATATACTTCTCTCTAGTGATAATGGAGAATGAAATGAGATCGTTATGGAAAATGTTGACATTTCAGATCATAATCATGAAGTCTGTTCCGCATTTCGTTTACAAGCCTATAAACATATGATGGGTTCGGTTGTCAGGAGGTCACGTTGACTCGATGTGTCTTCATGTGAGCTGCTTGTCATTAGTTTTTTCGGGTTTCCAAACCGCTAGTATATTTAGATGTGCTTTAAATTCCACAGATTGGTCCACAGTTGTCACCAAGGGCGGATCCAGCATTTTCCAAAGGGAGGGGTCCAAAATATCAAAATCCTCTCTCAGATATTTTTACTGCTTATGTAGCAGGGCGTGGAGTCATCCCACAGATGCGTGACATCCTTACCTTGTCAGCTTGCTGACGGGGTAAACCTCTTTGGTCATGTGGACAAGGCGTCCGACCTCGGATCAGACGGTCCGTGGTTCGAATCCCATCACGGGACTCGGAAATTTTATGGCCGCTACATTGGCGCCCAACGTGGGTCTGAGCACGTTCATATTAAATTTGAGCAAGTCTCAGTACCCTACTATGCGGCCCGGGACGTGCCTTCTGTTGACGGGGGAGTATGTAGCAGGGCGTGGGGTCATCCCACAGATGACATCCTTACCTTGTCAGCTTGCTGACGGGGTTAACCTCTTTGGTCATGTGGACAAGGCGTCCGACCTCGGATCAGAAGGTCCGTGGTTCGAATCCCATCACGGGACTCGGAAACATACTACATTTATCAAAAGGAGGAATTGGCAGGGTGGGGTCTGGACCCCCTAAACACCACCCCACTGGATCCGCCTATGAGCACACAAGCTGATCCGTGGATGCTTGGTTGAGTGAGTGAGTGAGTGAGTGGCGCCGTTTTTAACAGTATTCCAGTTATATCACGGCGTGCCAGCTTAATGTGGGAGGAAAGCCCGAAATGATGCAGGTCTCAGTCGTTTACCACTTCGGTGAAACCCACGAACACGGGTATGGTGCTAACGTACCTAGAAACATAATCAGGGCGAACCGGGATTCGAAACCACAATCATAGATTTCTGGCGTGCCCAAGGGACGCAACTCTGCATAGCGAATCGCGGCGCCTTAGGCGACTGGGCGACCCGTGCCCCCCGATGCGTGGGCGGAGAGGTGAGTGTTTTTTTCTGTGTGGAGATTATTATTCCAAGTTCAGCGAGTCAGTGAAGATTGGTTTACACCAGTCAACAGTAATCCATCTTCCACGACGGCCTACTCGCCGCCGGGTAAAAAAAAAAAATGGCGCACAATCACACATAGTCACCACCCGAACCTCATCAGGCCGCTCCGCAATTCGCTGTGCGGAGTTGCGTCCCCTGGGCACGCCAGAAACCTGTGATCGTGGGTTCGAATCCCGGTTCGCTGGCGTAACGTCGCGTTCAAGATTATTGCATTTACATAGCGTGTGCACGTGTATGTGGCTGCTTGTACTAGTCCGGATAAATACCGGTTTTATAGTGCTTGTCCACTGTGATACCATGCCGCAGTTTAGCATGGATAACCCACTCGGACACAGCATACTGACTCCCAGCCGACCGGTCCTTGTTTTATTCCCTTAATTCAGAGGACAGGGTAACAACAAGTACCATATAAAAGGACATCGTTACCACTTCGCTTGCACCTCGACAGTGACACGCATGCGCATAAAATCATTTCCTCATACATTGTCTGCTTGCCAGACATACTTACACGCATGCGCAAAACGTGACCTTACTGTGAACTTCCGGCCCGAAAGCAACGTTTGTTCTGGAATATCTGCACAGATTGCACGTGATTCTCAGTCCACGAATTCTTTGATCCGAACGCTCACAGGAAGCACGTGCTAAGATGAAAGTTGGAATTAATATCTAAAATGACATCCATTCAAAAGTCATCAAAACTAGACGCGCCCACCCACAAAATATGAAATCAGATACGGAAAAATAACAACACATATTCCCGTGTGTTTACATGACCCCGATAGCGCGTGCATATACACATATATGCGTGTCACATATCAGCTTCCCCATGTTCCTGTCTGCACCTATCTATATGAGGCTAACGATAAACATATAGCCAAATAATAGGTCCACATCCATACCCGTTCCTCCTTTGTTTCGCAAATGCCAATTCTGACATTAAACAAAGTCCAAATTGACCTCTTCAGACGCCCGATATGAGCGAAAGTGTATCTCCATTGCTGCCAATGCTGTAATAGATTAGCAGGCTGATAACTGCTAATGTCAAAGAACGAGTTTATTTTTTGCAGGGGAAATAATGGTTTTATGATTATTATTTTAGCTACATAACGATGATAAGCTTGTGCTTCAACCAGGGACTTGAAATATTCCCACATTGATAATTAAACACAATTTTCTGGGAGAATAATAACTTTGGTGTGTATTTACTTCAGCCACGTATAGAAATAATCGGAAATGCCTGAAACAATAAACCTTATGAGAATAATCATACTATTTAAATTAGAATTGTACTGATAAATGTACCGACAAATATACCGATGTGTGGTCTCTGTATAACCTACTTCAGCCCTGATCTTCCTAGAAAGGTGTTTATATAAGTGTAGATCACACATCTAGAGGTTGTGATATTCTTGAATAATGCTGTTACTTTAATCTGAAGAGAACTTTCACTGTGGAAAACAGGTGGTGGGGTGGGGCGAGGGGGGGGTTGTTTACCACCAAATTCAAGATTATTGCACTTCTATTGTGACACGCAGTGCGGTATCCAATTTGAAATGCGTCATGACGTCTCAGTGTGCTTGTATTGGTCCTGACTAATGCCGGTTTTATAGTGCTAGCCCACTAAGACATCATAACGCAGTTTAAATTGGATACCCTCTCAGACACAATAGACACTCCGAGCCGACCAACTTGCTTTAGCCCTGCAAGCTAAGCGCCAGGGGATCGAACCACCGACCTCCCGATCTCCGTGCAGACGCTCTATCCATTTGACCACGGGGGCGGTCCTGCAAATATTTCTTCCACTGAATCTCCACGGGGCGGATCAAGTTTGGTAGTTTGAAAATCAGTACTTAATTTTATTGAAGGTCATTGAAATTGATATTTTTGTTGGGAGGGAGGATTTTTAATGTGCCACGTGACCTTATTGACCACGCCCCCTGCGGTTGAAGTACGAATCAGACAGACATTAAAAATCGGCTGACGTGTACCGAAATTTGGCTTCTGGTGCAAACACGCAATTTAACGTCAACAAATAGTTTTTCTACATCGCTTAAGCATAAAATAAAAATATGAAGGACGGGGAATATTTTTGGGGCGAGCAGTTTATGCAAAACAAGAAATATATTCCCACCTCCATGCTGTATGCATCAAACATGGATATTACATGTGCCATGGTATGAGCTTTTTCTACATATATTGATGCAAAATGTTCAACAATTTGAGTTCTGATTATTGCAATATTGCATATAATGTGTTTAAACGCTGCTAAGAAACATGCACGTGCTCAGTGATATGTGTATTACATTTGTTTGTAAGGTTATACGAGCCACGCGCTATAATCTGACAGCTAAAGAAATGTCAGTCAACACATGGGTGTCGTTTTGTGGCTACATTTCCCCCGTTCTGGTTGGGTTGTTTTACACAATTGTTATTTCATTCTGTAACATGTAGATAGAACTAAACCTTCTGTAGTGAAAAGGCAGGGATCCTTGATATCTCCCTAGGTGGGTGAGATACTTGGGTTTACACTGCGTGCTCCCTAGGTGGGTGAGTTACTTTGGTTTACACTGCTTGCTCCCTAGGTGGGTGAGATACTTTGGTTTACACTGCGTGCTCCCTAGGTGGGTGAGATACTTTGGTTTACACTGCTTGCTCCCTAGATGGGTGAGATACTTTGGTTTACACTGCTTGCTCCCTAGGTGGGTGAGATACTTTGGTTTACACTGCTTGCTCCCAGGGTGGGTGAGTTACTTTGGTTTACACTGTTTGCACCCTAGGCGGGTGAGTTACTTGGGTTTACACTGCTTGCTCCCTAGGTGGGCGAGATACTTGGGTTTACACTGCTTGCTCCCTAGGTGGGTGTGTTACCTTGGTTTACACTGCTTGCTCCCTAGGTGGGTGAGATACTTTGGTTTACACTGCTTGCTCCCAGGGTGGGTGAGTTACTTTGGTTTACACTGCTTGCCCCCTAGGCGGGTGAGTTACTTGGGTTTACACTGCTTGCTCCCTGGGTGGGCGAGATACTTGGGTTTACACTGCTTGCTCCCTAGGTGGGTGAGTTACTTGGGTTTACACTGCTTGCTCCCTAGGTGGGCGAGATACTTGGGTTTACACTGCTTGCTCCCTAGGTTATGTGAGTTATTTGGGTTTACACTGCTTGCTCCCAGGGTGGGTGAGATACTTTGGTTTACACTGCTTGCTCCCTAGATAGGTGAGATACTTTGGTTTACACTGCTTGCTCCCTAGATGGGTGAGATACCTGGGTTTACACTGCTTGCTCCCTAGGTGGGTGAGATACTTTGGTTTACACTGCTTGCTCCCAGGGTGGGTGAGTTACTTTGGTTTACACTGCTTGCCCCCTAGGCGGGTGAGTTACTTTGGTTTACACTGCTTGCTCCCTAGGTGGGCGAGATACTTGGGTTTACACTGCTTGCTCCCTAGGTGGGTGAGTTACTTGGGTTTACACTGCTTGCTCCCTAGGTGGGCGAGATACTTGGGTTTACACTGCTTGCTCCCTAGGTTATGTGAGTTATTTGGGTTTACACTGCTTGCTCCCGGGGTGGGTGAGATGCTTGGGTTTACACTGCTTGCTCCCTAGGTGGGTGAGTGTCTTGGGTTTACACTGCTTGCTCCCTAGGTGGGTGAGTTATTTTGGTTTACACTGCTTGCTCCCAGGGTTGGTGAGATGCTTGGGTTTACACTGCTTGCTCCCTGGGTGGGTGAGTTATTTGGGTTTACACTGTTTGCTCCCAGGGTGGGTGAGTTACTTGGGTTTACACTGCTTGCTCCCAGGGTGGGTGAGTTACTTGGGTTTACACTGCTTGCTCCCAGGGCGGGTGAGTTACTTGGGTTTACACTGCTTGCTCCCAGGGCGGGTGAGTTACCTGGATTTACACTGCTTGCTCCCTAGGTTATGGGAGTTATTTGGGTTTACACTGCTTCCTCCCAGGGCGGGTAAGTTACTTGGGTTTTCACTCCTTGCTCCCAGGGCGGGTGAGTTACTTGGGTTTACACTGTTTGCTCCCAAGGCGGGTGAGTTACCTGGATTTACACTGCTTGCTCCCTAGGTTGGTGAGTTACCTGGATTTACACTGCTTGCTCCCTAGGTGGGTGAGTTATTTGGGTTTACACTGCTTGCTCCCTAGGTTATGTGAGTTATTTGGGTTTACACTGCTTGCTCACAGGGTGGGTGAGTTACTTGGGTTTAAACTGCTTGCTCCCAGGGTGGGGGAGTTACTTGGGTTTACACTGCTTGCTCACAGGGTGGGTGAGTTACTTGGGTTTACACTGCTTGCTCCCTTGGTGGTCGAGATACTTGGGTTTACACTGCTTGCTCCCAGGGTGGGGGAGTTACTTGGGTTTACACTGCTTGCTCACAGGGTGGGTGAGTTACTTGGGTTTACACTGCTTGCTCACAGGGTGGGTGAGTTACTTGGGTTTACACTGCTTGCTCCCAGGGTGGGTGAGTTACTTGGGTTTACACTGCTTGCTCCCAGGGTGGGTGAGTTACTTGGGTTTACACTGCTTGCTCACAGGGTGGGTGAGTTACTTGGGTTTACACTGCTTGCTCACAGGGTGGGTGAGTTACTTGGGTTTACACTGCTTGCTCCCAGGGTGGGTGAGTTACTATCATCACTATTGCAGCTGTAACATAGCACTGAGCAGCTGGAATTGAAATGGAGGCTTGGCAAGAGGCTTATTGTCGACTGTCCCACAGATCAGTAACCAATTCATTCCCTAAAAACATCGGTGGCAAAGACAACATTAGTTAGATAACAGTCTCCAGTGTTATAACAGAACAACAGTAGTCATACTGTCATGATATGCCACATTAAGTTTTTATCAGTTCAAGAAAACGTGATCATTGACTCCGGGCGAGAACAAATGATAGAAGTCACTGTAAGGGAAGTTAATTTATTTGGCAATAACATAGGCTTACAAACCACACATACACTACACCAATTTCTCATGATCATGATATAGTCGGAATCGTACAATTAACTCTGCTTTTAGCAGAGATTTCTAATGAATATGGAAAGGGTTTTGTCGCGTGAACCCGTGTCCTCAACAAACAACATGAGGTAACGGGTAATTAGGCCTGGAACAGGCTAACACACAGCCTGTAGACCAAGGTATTGTCACACCCCACTGCAGCTTCATGAGTGTCTGTTTCACAATCTCTTGGTAAGTCTCTCCATATCCAGGTGTGTCAACTTGGAACTTGACCAGATCGACTCCCTTCTGAAGGATTCCTGCAGTAAGGCTGATCTATTGCTGGGAACATGCAAGGTCAGCTTGTTCATGAGAACTAAACCATACTGACTCTCTCCTGAACAGCTCATATGATAACGGCGTCTGTCTGTAGCTAGGTCAGCTTGTTCATGAGAACTAAACCACACTGACTCTCTCCTGAAGAGCTCATACGATAATGGCGTCTGTCTGTAGCTAGGTCAGCTTGTTCATGAGAACTAAACCACACTGACTCTCTCCTGAAGAGCTCATACGATAATGGCATCTGTCTGTAGCTAGGTCAGCTTGTTCATGAGAACTAAACCACACTGACTCTCTCCTGAAGAGCTCATACGATAATGGCATCTGTCTGTAGCTAGGTCAGCTTGTTCATGAGAACTTAACCATACTGATTCTCTCATGAAGAGCTAATATGATAACGGCATCTGTCTGTAGCTAGGTCAGCTTGGCCACTAGAACTAAACCACACTGACTCTCTCCTGAAGAGCTCATACGATAATGGCATCTGTCTGTAGCTAGGTCAGCTTGTTCATGAGAACTAAACCACACTGACTCTCTCCTGAAGAGCTCATACGATAATGGCATCTGTCTGTAGCTAGGTCAGCTTGTTCATGAGAACTAAACCATACTGATTCTCTCCTGAAGAGATCATATGATAACGGCATCTGTCTGTAGCTAGGTCAGCTTGTTCATGAGAACTAAACCACACTGACTCTCTCCTGAAGAGCTCATACGATAATGGCATCTGTCTGTAGCTAGGTCAGCTTGTTCATGAGAACTAAACCATACTGATTCTCTCCTGAAGAGATCATATGATAACGGCATCTGTCTGTAGCTAGGTCAGCTTGTTCATGAGAACTAAACCACACTGACTCTCTCCTGAAGAGCTCATATGATAACGGCATCTGTCTGTAGCTAGGTCAGCTTGTTCATGAGAACTAAACCACACTGACTCTCTCCTGAAGAGCTCATATGATAACGGCATCTGTCTGTAGCTAGGTCAGCTTGTTCATGAGAACTAAACCACACTGACTCTCTCCTGAAGAGCTCATACGATAATGGCATCTGTCTGTAGCTAGGTCAGCTTGTTCATGAGAACTAAACCACACTGACTCTCTCCTGAAGAGCTCATACGATAATGGCATCTGTCTGTAGCTAGGTCAGCTTGTTCATGAGAACTAAACCACACTGACTCTCTCCTGAAGAGCTCATACATGCGTGAGTGAGTGAGTGAGTGAGTGAGTGAGTGAGTGAGTGAGTGAGTGAGTGAGTGAGTGAGTGACTGGAGTGAGTGAGTGAGTGAGTGGGCCACCCGTGCCCCCTAACTCTCTTCTGAAGAGCTCATACAAGAACAGCACAGGTCTGTAGCTGACAATCGGCCAGGTCAGCTTGGCCACTTGAACTAAACCACACTGACTCACTCCTGAAGAGATCATATGAGAACAACACTCATCTAACTGTAGCTGACAATGGGTTAGGTCAGCCTGCTCTCTCTTACTACTATTACATCTTCCTGGACAGTCAGGCAAAGTTAGCTTGTCTTCTGGAACTTGGCAATGAAGAACCCGATGGTGTCAGTGTCCGGGCTCTGGGTGTCCAGTGTCAGGATGCTGGGGTCAAATCTCTGGACTTTACACCTATCCCCCTCTGACAAGCCTGTCCCTGGGAGTCCAATACCTCCGATGTGAGGGTCCTGGAACATAGCATGACTAGGACCTAACTGCCTGTTAATACTCAACTTCAACTGACAATCTCAAATATATTTTTTCTGACATAAAGTATAATTTGTTTTCATATTGAACCCTAGGACTTTGATCAGAACATCAGTGCAAAATTACTACATACATTTTTCTGTTTTTTAATGCTGACTCAGCAGTATTCGAATCGCATTGTAAAGAACAAATAAATAAAATCTGGTCCAGATGAACCAGTGGTTATTATTAGCAATATCTCATGCCGTAGGGGTATGTTTGTTTATTGTTTAACCCCGCACTCAGTAGTATTCCATCTTTATGACAGTGGTCTGTACCAGACAATCCAGTGAATGATATCATGGGCATTGATCCACACAATTCGGATACGATGACATGCATCAACCAGGTCAGCAAGCCTGACCACCCAATCCCCTTAGTCGCCTCTTACGACAAGTAAAGTCGCCTTTAACAGCAAGCATGGGTTGGTGAAGACCTATTCCACCCCGGATCTTCACGGTGCCGTTGAGGCACGATGACACTTAATCAACCAAATCACAGCACCTGACCACCCGATCCACAGTTGCCTCATACAACAAGCATTGGTTGCAGGGCACCAATTCTAACCTGGAATCCCTCAGGTGAAATCACTACATAGATATTTATATACTGCTTCTTTATCAACAGGGGGGCACGGGTGGCCCAGTCACGATTCGCTGTGCAGAGTTGAACCCCTTGGGCACGCCAGAAACCTATGATTGTGGGTTCGAATCCCGGTTCTTCCCGATTATGTTTCTAGGTTTGCCAGCACCATACCTGTGCTAGTGGGTTTCACCGAAGTGGTAAAGGTCTGAGACCTGCATCATTTCGAACTTTCCTCCCACATTAAGCTGACACGCCGTGATGTAACTGGAATACTGTTAAAAGCGGTGTTAAACCCAACTCACTCACTCCTTTATCACAAACTTGACAAGTAAAAGAACTACATTTTTTTCTCAATATCCAAAGAAACAAAAACATGTATACATATACATTTACTGGAGGATCATGTGCAACCACTACTAACACTAAAGATCCTACTAGTAGATGAATAAAATATTCATATATTTTTTTCTTTTGCCAGACACATTTGGCTAAAACTGTTAATCGAATGGTGCAAACATAACATTTTCAGTGCATAATATAGTGTTTGTTTGGTAACATCTTGTCACAAACATCTAGCGACATATTGGCATTTTAAAAATATTTACTTAATTAACAAAATTGCAAATGAGATGACAGAATGAGGGGACTCACCTGTGTGAGGAGGGTGAGGCTGGGGAAGGTTTGTAGCGCCCACCCCACCTGACCCTCGTTCTCCTCCCTCGTCACCGTGCAGGTACTGAACACCAGCACCCCCCCAGGTTTCAGCAGCCCCACCGCCTGTCACACACAGGGCAAGCGTTTCAGTGAATTGTACGTTTGCTTGTAAACTTTTTGTTTAGACATTTCAAACCCCAATTGTTTTGTTTGTTTGTTGTTTAACGCCGCACTCAGCAATATTCCAGCTATGTGACGGTGGTCTGAAAATAATCAAATCTGGACCAGACAATCCAGTGTTTGACATCATGAGCACTGATCCACGCAATTGGGAGACGATGACATGCATCAACCAAGTCAGTGAGCCTGACCACCCGATCCCGTTAGTCGCCTCTTACGACAAGCATAGTTGCCTTTTACGGCAAGCATGGGTTGCTGAAGACCTATCCTACCCCGGATCTTCATGGGTCAATTGAGGCAGTTAGTGACTGATCAAGTAATATAGGGGTGGGTGGGAATGGGATTGGTCTTTAAACTGAAAAAATGATAACTGTGGCCCCACTATATAATTGTGATAAATTTTGGCCCCCTCACCCTCTTTCTCTATGTCAGTGTTTCTTCTCACATCCCCTATGGGGAGTACTTCAGGTTTGACATTACTTCAATCTCATTAAAATCCAATCTAAGTTCTTGTTGCTGCTAATTAAAGATCTGAGGGCATCCCATTACGGGTCATGTCAGAACGACCTTTTGCGAACTTTGACAGACCACTGAAATGACTAACAAAAAGTCGACATCAGCAAATTAGAAAGCAGCTTTTCGCTTTATGACACTCGTATTAACCTGGCGACTTCCATTTCAGACTACGCTTGAAAAATATGTTGACGCAATTTTGATTAAAATTTTGAAAACTGAACAAACGAATATTCCAGAATGTCTAATATAAGGTTGAGATTGTATGGCACTGCTTCCCACGTACTGTGCAAAGCCTCCTCCAATCAAATCTTTATCCCACAGAAGTAAGAGATAGACGATAATTTAGACGAAGTCAGTCGTACGGGCCGTTACTGTTGTTCGGAATAACCTGTGTTAACATTTTCGAGGTTGCATGGTCAGAAACACATTCTGACTGTCACTTTCATGATCTGGTAAGCAACGCTTTGATTGGTCGGATGAAAGGTCGTTCTGGCGTGACCTGTAATGGGATGTCCTCAGATCTTTGTTAAGCGATAGCGAGAACTAAGATCTGATTTTAATGAGTTACCTGCACATTTGACATTAATAAAAAAAACAAGTGTTGTAGTGAAATTCTCATTCATATGAACACATCATCTAACATTATGAATATATGATTTCTGAATGTTGTGCTTATTTGAAATATGCAGATTCTAGGGGACAAAGAGAGCCCTTATGTCACCTCCTTGCATTTTGTGAATTTTCAAATATTACTCATTTTATGTATGCTTCATATTCTGAGGGTGAACACATTGGTCTAGGGGAGATCACTCTATCAAGACTTTTCTTAATAGATTTGAAGAGAAACCTATTTACCCTTCAGATACCAGTTACATATTAAAAACAGCTTTATTATATTCATTTCCCTTCTCAAGCAAAAAATTCAAATAAAACTCACCTTGGAAAAAAGTTTCCTTTGATATACTGAGTAGGACTTGAGTTCACTGAGCTTCATTGCATTCCGACTGGCCGGCCGCTGACCAAGGGCACTGCACGGGGCGTCCAGTAGGATGCGGTCAAAACTACATGAAGGGTAGGGTGGGCCACCAGTGGTTGCTGGAACAGAGATACAGAATACAAAGACTCAATTAAGACTTAACCCCATCTTACTTCCGTGACAGCGCTGGAACTCCATCTTAAAGTCCCAGACTCGTCCCATCACCTGGTTCCACCTTGATGTTACTACACAGAAGACAGATGACTGGGCTACTGTCTATATAAACAACAAGACTGGTGTCTTGTTGGCTGCAATTGGACAACACTAAACATAGCATTCATTGGTCCTTGGTATCAAATTATTTGAAGGGGGCATGGTTGTCTAAGGCGCTGCAATCCCCTGTAGAGTTGCGTCACTTGTGCACGCCAGAAACCTATGATTGTGGGTTTGAATCCCGCTTCGCCCCGATAATGTTTCTAGGTTTGTCAGCACCATACCCTAGCTCGTGGGTTTCATCGAAGTGGAAAACATCGAAGACCTGCATCACTTCAGGCTTTCCTCCCACATTAAGCTGACACGCCATGATATAACTGGAATACTGTTAAAAGCGGCGTTAAACTTAATTCACTAACTCAAATTATTTGAAATTTGTAAATGTAAAGTAAAATTGCTCTTGCCACATCAACATCAGTAGAACAGTTTATGAAATTAACCTAAGATTGCTTGTCCAAGACACTAAAATCCCAATCACTGTAAATGATAAAGATTTCACCCAATGAATCCTTCTAAACTTGTATGCTTTCGATACCTTCCAATCAAAGGATGTTTGTTGGTTTGTTTTTTGTTTAACGCTGCACTCAGCAATATTCCAGCTATATGAAGGCAGTGTGTAAATAATCGAGTCTAGGCCAGATAATCTAGTGATTGACATCATGAGCATCGATCCATGCAATTGGGATCATGACATGCATCAACCCAAGTCAGCGAGTCTGACCATCCGATCCCTTTTACGATAAGCAAAGTCACCTTTCACGACAAGCATGGGTTGCTGAAGACCTATGCTACCCTCAACCTTCATGGGTCCCAATCAAAGAAATTAAGAATGGTATTTTTTAAAAGATGGGAGGGAGTAACTCGGGTACTCAGATCGGGTGGGCCTTGAGTAGGACCTCAGTACCCACAGGACTACCCCAACCCATGGTCAGTCATGTGATTTATTGTTTAATTACAAAACTTATCTATCTACTATTACTCCATGGTTACACTACAAGTCACTAATGTTCCCATTTCCACTTTCATATAAATATAAAACTTCAGTCAACTTCAGTGTATGCATGACCAGGTCGTTTTATACATGTATCTAAATATATTTTGCCAGGGCTATGGTGAAACTATTTAAATCGGACATTTTGTACCTATCTCTTGAGACTTACAGTGGGTACCAGGGCATGGCAAGGCAGGGCAGGGCAGGGCGGGGCGGGGCAGGGCAGGGCATGGCGGGGCAGGGCAGGGCAGGGCAGGGCAGGGCAGGGGGGGGCAGGGCAGGGCAGGGCAGGGCAGGTAATAAATTTGGACTTGTCCCTGCCCTAAAAGACAGATTATTTTATTTGGAAGTTATTAAAGTTACACAGCATAGCAATTTTGAAACTCTAAATAATGATACTTGCATTACAAAATACCAAAGAAATTAGGCAATTCCTAAAGTGATGCACAATGTTTTCTTACAACATGTGCAACATGCACACTTATAACTATAGATACAGTAAGGATTTGTACCACTAGTTTTGGGCAATGCCTGTTGGCTACATACCTGCCTGGTCATCCAGCGCCCTGCGAGAGTCCCCACTGTACGTTTCTATGATCGTAATTCCCCAGTTTGCTGCATTATTCTCAACTCGAGCAATTTTCTGAGGGGTTTTGTCCAGTGCCACAACTCTCCCCTGAAAATAGACATTTTATCCTTTATTTACAACATCAGAAGAGATGAGGAGCGAAGTATATTTTTTCTTCAAGTGTACCAGAGTGCCTCAAAATTATTCTTGGAAGTCATGTGTGCCAACACTTTGGAGCAAGATAATATGAGTTAATTTGAGTCGGCTGTTTTTGTCATCAGTTCATCTCAAGCCTGCTGAACTGAATTTTCAGAGGCGGCCTTTTATGATAACATTTACCATTGTAGACATAGCCAGTAGTTCACAACATTGTATCAGTGGGCCCCTCAATACCAAATCTTAATAACATCCGACCATTCACTCTGATCTGACTCCTCTGAAGATCTGAACACACCATCACCAGGAGAGCCCTGACAAAACTTTGACCACACAATAAACATGAAAGATGCGTAGGTTCTTGAGCCAGTCAGATGTCAGCTTTCTAAATGATTCTTCTTCATTTCTCTACACGCAACTTGGATTTAAATCTTTGCAAGGAAACCCGTCACGGAACACATTCAATTGAACGGGATGTATAAAATAACCACAGCAGGGTATTACCTTTCCTGCAATCAAAATCCCCAGATTATATTCGTATTGGAGATACAGAAATCAGATATGATTGTCTGAACATTTCACTTACTCGTACCGAGAATTCAAAAGCTTTCATGGTCATAATCTAATTAGGTGTCTCAGAACTTCAACAACTGAGGGGGTGGTCGGGTAGCCTAGTGGTTAAAGCGTTCGCTTGTCACGCCGAAGACCCGGGTTCGATTCCCGACATGGGTACATTGTGTGAAGCCCATTTCTGGTGTCCCCCGCCGTGATATTGCTGGAATATTGCTAAAAGCGGCGTAAAACCATACTCACTCACTCACTCAACAACTGAGGTATTTTATCAAAGTAAAATATCAGGGTTGCATTGCAAAAAAACAATAGCTTTGCTGCAAGCAATGTTCATTGATTCACATTAGAACAGGGCGCTAACTCCAATCACTGGATGCAGTTGCTTTGTCCTCAAACCAAAATGGCGGCTGATGAAAATTTGAGACTGACAGTGAAACCAGAAATTCTTGACCGGATCAGCTGGTTGGTAGGCTGGTTGGTTGGTTTGTTGTTTAACGCCGCACTCAACAATATTCCAGCTATATGATGGTGGTCTGTAAATAATCAAGTCTGGACCAGACAATCCAGTGATTAATATCATGAGCATCAATCCACGCAATTGGGATCGATGACATGCATCAACCAAGTCAGCGAGCCTGACCACCCGATCCCGTTAGTCGTCTTTTACGACAAGCATAGTCACCTTTTACGGCAAGAATGGGTTGCTGAAGACCTTTTCTACCCCGGATCTTCACGGGTCTGGCTGGGGAATGGGCAAAGGCAGATAATATCCCAGCTTCCCCAGTCTGTGCATCTTCCTGAGGCAAGGGTGTTAACTTACTGTAACAGTCCAGTTTCCACCCTTGCTGAACTAGGCTGGATTTCCAGAGTTACAGTTTGGCTGGAGTAACAAGTCTATGCATAGTCCAATCAAAATTCGAACTGGAAATCTGGTTCATAAACAACATGGATTTCAACGTGCAGATTTTGGTCAACTGCAGGATTTGCAAAGAATGTGCACCGTCAACTGGGCGTGGACAGATATTTTAGACATCATTTCATGTTTTAAATCAAGGTGCTCATGTGATTTCATTCACTTCATGAGGTAGGACCTGTTTTATTACAATATAGGTCTTGACCATTGATCAAATTGACATGAATGGGCATCGTCATGTTGTTTGAAGCAAATGCAAGTGATATGAGAGGTGGAATCTGTTTGGTCAATAGGAGGGACATAAAAGGGACTTAACTTGTAATAGCCACTGGTGGCGCAGTGAATGAGCCATTTTGGTAGAGTATGCTTCAAGCTGTTGCAGCCCCCAAGATGAGTGTTTAATTTGCTTACTAAGCGATTTGTGGCTGGCAACGCGCCCCTGATTTTAATGAGATTTCTCGATATCCACATCATCTCCCTTTGAGGGACTGTTAATACCAGGTATTCACTGCACAGAGGTCGATATTCTGCCCCAAGTCTGCAGTAAATCATGCACAAAACGCAGGAATTATATATGGTTTAACAAAATAAAAGAATTGGTTCTCAGGCAATGTTTTTTGAAAATATAGTGCGGGCAGGCGGTGTCTTTTTTTTCTTTAGGGTGGGGGGGGGGGGACTTGTGTAACCAAATAAACAATCGTGTACAAACTGGGAAAGGGCCTCCCTACATTAATGTATTCCTTGATGAGTAAAATACTGGAATACAGTATTTGACTACCATTGGACTTGGAATATTTAAGGAATCTTTTTATTTAAAAAAAAAAATGGATGATGTAGGCGGTGCCTGAGAACTAGTGTGGTTGTTAAATAAATCTAAATATATATGCATGGCATTGCTCCATGACTTAAGATGTGACGGATGTGATGGGAGACACCCACCTTGTTGTGCATGAGTGTGGCGATATGGACCGTCTTCCCACCTGTTGACAGGAAACAGACATACATGGATTCATCTGCCTTACGTCTGGTCACACATCATGTATACCACATCATCATTTTGAAGATGGTTGATTTACGATTATATGACATTAATTATCCTGTTTTGAAGTCCTGATTCCCTTGCTTAAAACGTGTTTGCATATCACAAATGTTAATCCTGGGCCACTGCCATTAGATATATAGTCTGTGCTAGGGCTGGGATGGGTAACTCAGGTACTCGGGTAGGGTGGGTATTCAGTAGGACCCGGGTACCCACAGGACTACCCGGACCCGAGGTCATAGTCTGAGATATATTGTTTAATGACAAAAACTCACTATAGCTCAGTGGTTCCACTACAAGTCGCTAGGGCTAGAGCTGGGATGGGTAACTCGGGTGCTCGGGTCCGGTGGGTTCTGAGTAGGACCCGGGTACCCACAGGACTACCCGGACCCGAGGTCATAGTCTGAGATATATTGTTTCACTACAAAAACTCACTATAGCTCAGTGGTTCCACTACAAGTCGCTAGGGCTAGAGCTGGGATGGGTAACTCGGGTGCTCGGGTCCTGTGGGTTCTGAGTAGGACCCGGGTACCCACAGGACTACCCGGACCCGAGGTCATAGTCTGAGATATATTGTTTAATGACAAAAACTCACTATAGCTCAGTGGTTCCACTACAAGTCGCTAGGGCTAGAGCTGGGATGGGTAACTCGGGTGCTCGGGTCCGGTGGGTTCTGAGTAGGACCCGGGTACCCCCAGGACTACCCGGACCCGAGGTCATAGTCTGAGATATATTGTTTGATGACAAAAACTCACTATAGCTCAGTGGTTACACTACAAGACGCTAATGTTCGCAATTCATTCTGACGAAGAACAAATTCCTTTGACGTGTATATGTTTGAGTAAAGATGAAGCTTCAGTCAACTTCAGTGTATGCATGATGTGATCATTTGATACATGTATCTAATAGTTTTTGCCAGGGCTTTGGTAAAACAATTCGCAATCAGAGATCTTGTTCCCAGCTCTTGAGACCTTCAGATGGTACCCGGGTAGGGTCGGGTAATAAGGGGTTGGATACCCGGGTAGTAAACATGGTAAATTTGGACTTGTCCCAGCCCTAGGTCTGTGCGTTTATGGAGGTATACACTGGTTAGCCTACCGTGTAATTCTGCCTATGTCAACAACAATAACTTCACAACTGCTTTTAATAACCATTAAGACAAATAACTGTAGACAATAATCTGAAATCAGTGACATGGTTCAGCACAATGATGCAATACATGCCCTGTGCATTGTATGATCAGCCAATCAGAAAGCAGTAGTCTGTTGGCCATCGACCAGTGACTAAGTCGACTCCTGGCTTTAAATATTTCTGCGCAAAAACATCACAATCCTACCTGGGGCTGCGCACATGTCAAGAATTGTCTCCCCTGGCTGGGGGTCAAGGACATGACCACACACAATGGAGGGCAGATTCTGTGGGAACACCAGGGCAGGTAAAACTCGGTCCAGAGATGGCGCCTGGAACACTGGTTGTGTCATCCTTATGCCAATACCACTGAAAACATCAACAATAACATGAGAAAAAAACACACACCAATATTAATCTAATGTGAGTGTGTGAAGTTTAAAATGCTGCTGGCTGCATTATTCTAACTGTGTGACGGAAGTAGACCAGGCAAACCTATGACTGAAAGCAAGGGAAGCGATCCCTGTTATCGAGACATGCAATCACGAAGTCTTCAATAAGAGACAATAAAATCAGATACCATGTAAGGACTAGTCAGACGTCTGCTCCAGCCAAGACGAAGTGATCTTGAAATGCTTACCGTATTCTACGTAATAAGCGCCCCGCTCTAATATTAAATAAGCGCCCACAACGATATTTGCTAATATATCCCAATTAGCACCCCTTCCGACTGATCAATGTACACAGGACTTATTTATTCGTGTATAGTATGCACTTATGTGTTATATGTCTCTTAATTATGGCCAATTAAATTCTGGAAAAATATATCTGTCGTATGTAAACATTTCAGGCTGTCAGCATAAACCACAAAATTTACGTTCTTTCAACTCTTGTTGTTTTTTTCCACCAAAATAATATTCTAATAAGAGCCCCCTATTTCTAATTTTGAGAGTGCCCTGGGCGCTTATAAGGTCTAATACGTAGTTCTCAAAGTACATGCAACCAATATGGAGTCAAATGTTCCACTGACAGGAAATCCAAGTACTGTGACTAGCTAAACATGACATAGCTGAGTGTCAAACATTATTGAATTGGAGAACATTCTCAAAAAATCAGTGTTTTCTTTAGGTCCATGTATAAAATAAATAGAAATGTATTTCTACTTTGCTTTCAATGATCTATCACCTATCAGTGTTTGAAACAGCCTACTGGTCAGGTTTGAGAAATCATACTCCAATTTGATGCACATACATACTGAAAATAAGCAGTTTTTATATTTTATTATAAAATATCCATTTTAACATGACCCTCCCCAAATATATGAATTATTTTTATGACCCTCTCCTTTGACCCCCTGCAACCCAACTAATAAATGGTCAGTCCCTCAGAGCCAATCAGGATGCAGAAATTATTATTATTATTATTATTATTACCTAAGTTTTTCCGAGCTGCAGAAGATGTCCTCCCTCCCTACATGTGCGACTCCATTACCCACAAACATCTTGTGACCTGTGAACTTCTGAGTGAGACCTTTACGACACTCAGCGTTCAGGTCAGCATATACCGACACGTGGTCTCCGGCATGCACACCTGGAGATAATTCAAAACAGGATTAACATCGCTTTGAACAATATTTCAGTGACACAGAGGCATGTTGGAGGAAAATAAAAAGGGACACAGTTTGTAGACTTGACAACTTTCATGAAATCCGTGATAGAGGTATGGGGTAAGGAAACCCGTTTTTAGCAACATCCCAGCAATATCACAGCGGGGGGACACCAGACATTCGCTACGCACATTGTACCAAATGGGGTGATGAAACCCGTTTTTAGCAATATCACAGCAGGGGACACCAGACATTCGCTATGCACATTGTACCCAATGGGGTGATGAAACCCGTTTTTAGCAATATCACAGCAGGGGACACCAGACATTCGCTACGCACATTGTACCCAATGGGGTGATGAAACCCGTTTTTAGCAATATCACAGCAGGGGACACCAGACATTCGCTACGCACATTGTACCCAATGGGGTGATGAAACCCGTTTTTAGCAATATCACAGCAGGGGGACACCAGACATTCGCTACGCACATTGTACCCAATAGGTTGATGAAACCCGTTTTTAGCAATATCACAGCGGGGGGACACCAGACATTCGCTACGCACATTGTACCCAATGGGGTGATGAAACCTGTTTTTAGCAATATCACAGCAGGGGACACCAGACATTCGCTACGCACATTGTACCCAATGGGGTGATGAAACCCGTTTTTAGCAATATCACAGCAGGGGACACCAGACATTCGCTACGCACATTGTACCCAATGGGGTGATGAAACCCGTTTTTAGCAATATCACAGCAGGGGACACCAGACATTCGCTACGCACATTGTACCCAATGGGGTGATGAAACCTGTTTTTAGCAATATCACGGCAGGGGACACCAGACATTCGCTACGCACATTGTACCCAATGGGGTGATGAAACCCGTTTTTAGCAATATCACAGCGGGGGGACACCAGAAATGGGCTTCACACATTGTACCCATGTCGGGAATTGAACCCAAATCTTCAGCCTGAGAAGCGAACGCTCTAACCACTAGGCTACCCCACCGCCCCTGTCTATAATTAAGCGCTATGAGTCGTCCATGATGGCGCTGACCTACTTGTTGGAGCTGCCATGATGCCCTGGACGAAGACATCCGCTCCACGCAACACCGCCATGCCACACGCCAGGTCGACAACCACTTCCTTGTCACACTGAAGCATCAATCACATGCGAGTCAATAATTCTTGTTTTCTTTGTTTGTGTGTCTGTTGTTTCACACTGTACTCAGCAATATTCCAGCTGTAGGACTGAGTGAGTTGGGTTTTATGCTTTTTGAACAGTATTCCAGTTATGTCGCGGCGTGTCAGCTTAATGTGGGAGGAAAGCACGAAGTGATGCAGGTCTCAGACATTTACCACCTAGGTGAAACCCACGAACACAGGTATGGTGCTGACAAACCTAGAAACATAATCAGGGCGAACCGGACTTCGAACCCACAATCATAGGTTTCTGGCGTGCCCAAGGGACGCAACTCTGCACGGCGAATCGTGGCGCCTTAGACAACTGGGCCACCAGTGCCCCCTCCAGCTGTAGGACAGTGGCCTGTAAATAATCCAAGTTGGACCAGACTTTCCAGTGATTGACATCATGACCAAAGAGCCACACTGTTGGGGCACAATGACATGGAATCAGCCAAGTCACCGAGTCAGACCATCTGATCCACATAGTCGACTCCAGCGACCAGCAAAGGTGGCTTGGGGCCAGTAAGCGATCTTGCACAAAGCGATCTTAGCGCTACAACTGTTGTAAGCCAATGTTACGATCATCTTAGCGCTAAGATCACTTTGTGCAAGTGGGCCCAGGAATCCTTTTTTCAATCGTTGGATTACAAAAAGTATGCCCTGAAATCAGTGTAGGTGGAAGGAAAAAAATATATCTAAAACAATATCTTCCAACAGGCCCAAATGAACCTGCTATTGAATGGAAACACCATCTGACAAGGCGAGGTGATGCGAGGAGGTGAGGTTGGGGTTTTTATGTGGCGTTATATACTTATATTTTTTTTATACTAGATATTATAATAATAGGATTAAATTGCGTACTTCAGTTCGGATTTGTTGACAGGTATTTCCGGTGTTACGTGATCGCAGTGATCAGCTGATAATGTTTTCAGAGATGGGGGGAAAACATCATGGCATTGGAAAACTTGAGTTTATTAAAAATGTTAGTAAATTTTGGGAGCCATGCTTTACCGTGCGTTATAACCAAGTTAGCGCTATATTGAAGAGCGCAATAACGAGGGAACACTGTAGTGTTGTGCTCGCGTGCGTGTGGCTGCTGTTACTAGTCCGGACTGATGCCAGTACTAGTCCACTGACAGACCATATCACAGTTTAACATGGATACCCTACTCAGAGTCCGACACATGATACTGACTCCGAGCAAACCAGTTCCTGCTTTATTTAATGCCGAGCACCAGGCAGGGGTACATGTACCATCATCTGGTATAAAATGACCTGGAACCACTCTACACAGTATTTCAGTCATATCATAGAGTGAGTGAGTTGGGTTTAACGCCGCTTTTAACAGTATTCCAGTTATATCGCGGCGTGTCAGCTTAATGTGGGAGGAAAGCCCGAAGTGATGCAGGTCTCTGACGTTTACCACTTCCGTGAAACCCACGAGCACGGGTATGGTGCTGACAAACCTAGAAACATAATCAGGGCGAACCGGGATTCGAACCCACAATCATAGGTTTCTGGCGTGCCAAAGGAACGCAATTCTGCACAGCGAATCGCGGCGCCTTTGACGACTGGACCACCCGTGCCCCCCATATCATAGAGACATGGGAGGATGGGGGAGGGCCTGAAGTGAGTGAGTGAGTGAGTATGGTTTTACACTGCTTTTAGCAATATTCCAGCAATATCATGGTGGGGGACACCAGAAATGGGCTTCACACATTGTACCCATGTCGGGAATTGAACCGGGGTCTTCGGCGTGACGAGTGAACACTTTAACCACTAGGCTACCCGACCGTCCCCAGAGCCTTAAGTGATGCTGGTCTTTGACCTTTCCCACTTTTGTGAAACTTTTCAACTTCTTTGTTTTGTTTGTTCATTGTTTAATGCTGCACTCAGCAATATTCCAGCTTTATGGAGTAGTCTATAAATAATCAAGTCCGGACCAGACAATCCAGTGATTGATATCGTGAGCATTGACCCTCACAATGGGATACAATGTCATGCATCAACCAAGTCAGCAAGCCTGACCACCTGATCCCGTTAGTCACCTCTTACAACAAGCATAGTCGCCTTTTACGGCAAGCATGGGTTGCTGAAGACCCATTCTACCCCAGGTCTTCACGGGTCTTTCAACTTTTGAATCACCTGGTTTATAATGTGATTCACATCAGCAGTAAGGGTGTTTATATGGTAGTCATCTTCCTCATGTTCATCCAACTTCGCTGTTCGAAAGTACATTTATCAATGTTACAAGGTGAGTTTGTGAGTTTGATTTTACACCATATTTTTGCAATATTCCAGCAATATCACGGCGGGGGACACCAGAAATGGGCTTCACACATTGTACCAATGTTGAGAATCAAACCCGGGTCTTCGGTGTGACGAACGAACACTTTAACTACTAGGCTACCCAACTGCCCCAAAATGTTACAAGGTATTTTGGTTAAAAAACAAGTATACCCATCAGGCAAGTGGAGCTTTTTGAAATGTTAGTTCACATCAGAATATGAAGTCATCAAAAGGAGAACCATACATGCCAAAGTTCAGTTGTAAAAGTCTTTCAATATCAACAGTGTAACAGTCGGAATGTGTTTTCTTATCATGCAAGCTCAAAAAAGGTAAACACAGGGTATTCGAAATGACAGTTGCGGGATGTACAACTGATTCCATCAAAATAATTGTCTTTTCTCGCTTCAAAGGTATAAACATTTGGGATGTACTGCCATCAATCCCAGCCATCTATGAGACACTCAATCCTGTTCTTTTGTTCAGTTTTCACATTTGTAGTCTGGAATGGAAGTCCCCAGTTTACAACTAGTGCTGTGTTGCTCGATTGGTCAATGTTGACTTCTTGTTCATCATTTCATTGATCTGTCAAAGTTTGTGAAAGGTAATTCTGACGAGACCTGTAATAGGATGTCCTCAGATCTTTGTTTTGGCAGTAGTGAGAACTAAACCGGATTTTAATAAGATTGGGGGAATTTCATATCTCACCAGCTTGATATCCAACTTGGGTCCTCTGTTAGTGATGACCACGCAGTCCCGGAGTGCAGGATGAGCAGCCATGTCAAAGGGCTCCATGTCCCTCGTGACACATTGCTGGAACCGATAAGTTAAATAAGACATGATTTGGTTGGTTAGTTTGTTTGTTGTTTTACGCCGCACTCAGCAATATTCGAGCTATATGACAGCGGTCTGTAAATAATCCAGTCTGGACCAGAAAATCCAGTGATTAATATCATAACCATCGATCCACGCAATTGGGATCGATGACATGCATCAACCAAGTCAGCGAGCCTGACCACCCGATCCCGTTGGTACGAAAACTAACCCCTGGCTGTACAATTACATCTCACCAGTGTTCATTCTTGACTTTTTACCTCCAGAAACACTTTGTTTTTGTTTGATGATACTGTACTCAGTGCTGGATTCTATTCTGCCCTGATAATGCCCTGGGGGGTACATAATGAATGGCCTACCTCTCAGGGATTTTGCTGGAGACAACAGCATTAGACACTTTCAGGATTTTATCTACTTTTGATAGTACATTCTTCTACATCTCTCCCAAATTTGGAAACTATCTACAGGACATAAGGACTAGAATTTATGGATGTCAACTCCTTTATTATGAGGAACACAACATTTCAGAGTATATGCTTACCCCTTCATTCACCTGATGAAAGAGTAAGCATATACTCCCAAGTTGACATCCATAAATTCTCTTCCTTATGTGTATCACTTCTAAATGCCTTTCTAAGACTATCTACAGGACATTTTGGATGACAAGCAGCCAAGACAATGAACCAATCTGAAACCGTGCCTCTGCTAGAGTTGCTCGGAGGATCTCCATGATGCTCTCTGTTGGGTTGCTGCATGTGTTCGTCCTCAGTGTTGTGTACGCCGGGGGCAGACCCAGCCACTTCAGCAGGTTGGAGAGTCGCTTGTCTGTGCTTCCTTCAGGGCCATTCTCATCCTACAACAGTGAATAAGTGGGTGGGTGAGTGGGTGGGTGAGTGAGTGAGTGGGTGGATGAGTGAGTGGGTGGGTGAGTGGGTGGATGAGTGGGTGGGTCAATGGGTGGATGAGTGAGTGGGTGAGTGGGTGGATGAGTGGGTGAGTGGGTGGATGAGTGAGTGTTTTGTTTGTTTGTTGTTTAACGCCGCACTCAGCAATATTCCAGTAAATAATCGAGTCTGGGCCAGACAATCCAGTGACTAACATCATGAGCATTGATCCACGCAATTGGGATCGATGACATGCATCAACCAAGTCAGCGAGCCTGACCACCCGATCCCTTTAGTCGCCTCCTACGACAAGCATAGTCGTGAGTGAGTGAGTGAGTGATGGAGGGAGGAGGGACTCGTGTCAGCTGTCATGCAGTTTGGACAAAGCACATGGGGTTTACCGTCATGTTCAAGAATATTCCATACAAATAACGATGTGTACAAGTCTGGCCTTGTCTTATCCTCTTCATTCCGAGCCCCAGGCAACAACAAGTACCATCTCTTATCGTCTCATGGTATGACACGGCCAGGGATCAAACCACTGACCTTCCTCTCTCAGAGCAAATGCTAACTTACATTGGAGGGAGCCAGAAATAATGAGTGAGTGAGTGAATATTGTTTCACATACCCAGTCAGCAATATTTCAGTGGTAAATAACACAGGGAAGAAATACATGAGCTAAAACTTCGCCATCCATGTTCGATCCATTCAATCAGCCGTGTCATAGAGCATCTCTCATCAAATTTGCTCATCGGGTATGACTAGCAATATGACACTGGTGCCGCTAAACCATGTTATAACCAGACAAACAGCAAACAACATTCAACAGTTTAGAATATTTATGTGTAAATATATATTTTCAAGGTGAACATGAAAATATTATCTTCCCTAATTGATGTAATTTGTAACCTCACCAAAGGCTTCCTCCCCAATTGATGTGACCGAAAAATGGGTAATTTATACGCTATTGTCAAACATTTCCTTAAATTATTTGAACAATTTTGATAACAATTTCCTTCTGTCAAGCATTACTCCTCAAAGCAAAGATCCACCCTGAGAAGATCTTATCTACACTGTTTTAACATCAACTTGTGACAGTCGTAAGGCTGACTTTGCTTTGTAAAAATGTTGAACCGACGCTGGCTTGCACACAAAATCGTGAAATGGTTGATCGAAAATAGAACGAAGTAAGATGAAAAGCATGAAACGTCATTGCAATTGATATACTTCGACCACGGGAACTTCAAACGTTGCTTTGACCATATTTTCAACGTCTGCGTTGAGTCTGAGTGGCAGCAATTCCATCACAAGCTCATACGATGAGAAGAGCTATTTGTAAATAAACACACGTAACATCCAACGTGGTTCCGGCTCCAACAAACGCAAGCTCCCACACAGCGCCTCACGGCCCTGCTGCAAGCTCCTTCACAGCGCGTGACAGTACTGACACCTTCGTTACACTCTCGGTAACATCGCTGCCACCAGTGTGGGCGCGGCCATTACAAGAATCTTGAAATTTGCACTCTAACCCAAAAATGTAGTAACGTTGATACTTTTGTTTATGTCTTTGGGAATGCCATCATATTTCATTTTGAAAAGGTTTACGACTGACCACGTTTTCCAGATGAATATACTTTGTTGTTTTAATAATCAGATTGGTTCGAGATTGCAGACTAACGGAAAATCAACCTTCTCCCTTACATTCTCACTATTTCAATAACACGATAGTTTTAATGAAACGGAAATTCAAATTGACAAACGAAGAAAGTAATTTAGCAGCGATAAGTGTATTCGGCGTCACGACAGTCGTCACTTGTTTGTAAACATAACGGTCATTCGGTTGCGAGTTCAACTCCAAGCATGGTTGTGGCCACCTATTCACAGTGGGGAGTTTTGGGTGGCAGCGATCGTACAGAGAGCTATTGCTGTGAGGAGCTTGGGCCCTGCTGATGTGTTTACATCTGTGTGTGTGTTACCTATACTCACAGAACACTGCGAGGAGCCTGATTTGCTTCCTTAAAACCAGATTTGTCGTGTGTATGCGCCACAACCATTACGCATTCATAAGAGATTGTGATTGGACTATGCATAGACTCGTTCGTTAGTCCAGCCAAAATGTAACTCCATAATACCAGCCTAGTTTGGCAAGGGTGAAAACTGACGGCTCGGGGTACATAGGCTCACACACAGGGTACATTACACCATATACGACAACTTATAACATAACCAACCATTAACTCTTGGCAAATGTATCCGATACGCACAAGTCTCTGTATCTGCGAAGCTAAAGTTGTTGTTAGTTACACGTGATTCGCCTAAATGAGTTAGTTGCATATTTCATACTTTTTCGTTTGCCTTCTTTTAACCTTAGCCGATATTTTGTTAGAAATTGCTTCTTTTTGTCAGGGCTGACAGGGTTCCCATAATGGTCCGCAAGGCCGCGATCAGACGAGTTACTGGTGAACTGTTTTGTGCTCTTTCTGTGGCATGCTTTTCGGATCCACCGACTCGAAAAAAACCGAAGACGGTTTAGGGCCTGTTAATCATAAATTTTAAAAAACCCAACATAAATCATATTTATCGGTCTCGCCCCGGAGACAAGCGCGCATTCTCAAAGAGAACATTGTACGTGATGCAGAGCATGAAACGTTGGAGAGACAGAGTGAGAGAGTGAAGCAAATAATAGTTGGTTGGTTTGTTGTTAAACGCCGCACTCAGCAATATTCCAGCTACACGACGGCGGTCTGTAAATAATCGAGTCTGGACCAGACAATCCAGTGATTAACATCATGCGCATCGATCCAATCAACTGGGGTACGATGACATGCATCAACCAAGTCAGCGAGTCTGACCACCCGATCCCGTTAGTCGCCTCTTATGACAAGCATAGTCACCTTTTACGGCAAGCATGTGTTGCTGAAAACCTATTCTACCCCGAATCTACACGGGTCGAAGCAAATATTAGTTTGTCGCATCACATCATTAACATGGCAACAACAAATAAAATACTCACACTGTTGAAAGAGATGCCCAGCCTATAAGGCTACTTGAAACTGATCGATAATAAATGTCAAGGTTACGTGTTGGTTTCCATTTGTACATTGCTCTTCACCTACCAGCGCAAATTAATTGTTGGCTTCTCTTGTTTAGTTTCCACCTTTGCTATCTTATTACTTTTGTTTTTCTTCCATGTTCTCTGCATTGTTCACCTGATGAAGGAGTAAAATATACTCTGAAACGTTGTTTTCCTCAAAATATAAAAGTTGAAATCCATAAATTCTCTTCCTTATGGGTATCACTTTATAACACAGTAAAATAACAGTTTTACTTGTCATGCTGAAGGCGGGGTTCGATTCCCAACAGACATGGGTTCAATGTGTGAAACCGATGTCATGTATCCACGTCGTGATATTGTCGGAAGATCGCTACGAGCGGCGTAAAACCATACTCACTCGCGCCTTATTCAATTGTCACTAAAGCGTACGTAAAATATATTCAGAAAATCAGGCTTTACCCACTGGTTCTGGTTGGTTGGTTATTTTACGTCGCACTCAGCAATATTCCAGCCACATGACGGCGTTTCGTAAATAATCGAGTCTGGACAAGACAATCCAGTGAATGACATCATGAACATCGATCCACGCAATTGGGATACGATGACACGCATAAACCAAGTCAGCGAGCCTCGGCTGAGTAAAATAATCGGAATAAACATTGAGAGCTCATCCCTAAAATAAGTCATTTGGACTACAAAAAGACGATTACGTCTGAAAATCAACTATCAACACAATCAACTAAAAAATCTGTCACTTTGACTGAACAAGGAAATACTAAAGTTCCCAAATGGCTAGTAAATCACGTGAAGGTTGGTTATCCGAAGATAAGTAGAGAAACTAGGTATTACAAACCCAAGTAACTAAGTTTAGTTCAGTACACCAGACTAAGTGAGAATCTCGATTGACATAGCCCCGAACCCACGTACAGACGAAACGAGTTTCGACCGTGATCACTCCAGTAGCGAAACAATCGTGAACGATTTAACGAAGTCTAAAAGGTGAACACATTTTTTTCTGAAAGACTTTAATACACAGCGCGCGGACGTCGGAGGTGCCAATCTCTCCTGGGCCGCCAGGGAATACAACTGCCTTGGGCGCCCAGCCAACGTGAGTTTCAAAACACAGGGATAACACGAATAGCAAACCAACTACTATATCTTTACTGAAGACGTAAGTATCTAAATAAAGCACTGAACAGAAGATATCCAAAGGCGTAATTAAAGATTCACAACAAAATATGTACAATCATTGATGAGGCAAAAATGACCATGACTACATAAATGTCTGAATGTACATATAAATTACCCTAATGTTTGCAAATCATAATTACAAAGAAATCCTCAATACAAAAATGTAGTAGCGAACGTATAAGAGATAACATACATCCAGTCATTACATGGTTTGGGAATGTCATTAGATCACAAGAGAATGAAATAGATGACCGCCTGGTTTTGTCGGAAATAAAGACTGGGAACAGATCGGCACCAGACCGTGATATGGGCCAGTTGACGTCCCAGTGACACTTGGTAATGCAGTAATAGTATACGAAGCATTAACACCCATTGCTATTTTATCATAATATACTGAACTGCAAAAGAAACGTCACCCCAAGTAGGATTGCATCATAAGTTGTCATCTAAATATCTTGGTAATTTTTGTCAAAGTTTCTAAAATTTAACATAACCCTGTACGGAAAAATGAAATTTGATGATACAAAAAACAAAGCAGATGACAATAAAACCAATCGCCCAAACGCATCACGGCAACGGCCATGGTAACCCGATGCACGTGAGTTCCATACAAATTGAAATGCACATGCGTTTCCCCATTTCTTGCCCTATAAAAATCCACCCAGATCGGATAACATTCATTCGTTATTGAATTGCTATCACATGCCAAGATTGACCAAAAATCAGCGAAACCAAGCCTTTGGACGATTGCAAGCTGTACAAACCACCCAGCAAGTAGCCAATGCATTTCAAGTCCACGTAAGGACCATATCCAGGCTCCAGCAACGGTACCAGACCACCAACACTACAGATAACCGACCACGTAGTGGAAGACAAAAGGTCACCACCCGACGTCAGGATGGTCAGATTGTGCGACAACATCTTCAAGATCCTTTTGTTACTGCTGCGGAAACTGGTCGACAGATCATGGGGACACACCAACGACATATTAGTGCGGACATCGTGCGTTGACGATTGACGAGTAGACACCTCCATTGTCATAGGCCACACCGAGGACCCATTCAGACACCACGTCATTGCCGTGACCGTCTTCATTGGGCAACACAGCATCAGCATTGGCGCCACCAGCAGTGGGGAAGAGTCCTCTTCACAAACGAGAGCCGTTACTGTATCTCAACAGCAGATGGCAGAGAGAGAGAGAGAGAGTCTAATGACGCTATGGGGAACGTTATTCGGATGCCTGTGTTGTTGAGAGAGATTCGTGGGGTGGTCCGAGCATCATGGTGTCGGGTGGAATTGGTCTTGCACAGAGGGTCGGCCCTGTGGTCCTCCAGAACATCGGTCAAGGGAGAGGCAATGGTGTCACAGCAGCTCGGTACTTTGATCAAGTAATGAGACCACACGCCATGCCTCATTTGGCACGTCGCCGCAACCACGTCACAGCTAAAAAAGTGTAGGTTTCCGTTGTCTGGAAACCTTCCCACTTTGGATCCGGCCCGGAAACCTTCAAAAAAAATGTCAAAGTTGGGGAGGGGGGGGGGGGGGGGGGGGGGGGCACATAAAACAATTACAATTATCTGAATGTTATTGAAAGAAATTTGAATGTTGGTGGAGGTTTCCGGAAGGTATCCAGATGCAAATTTTCTTTATGTCTAGATTCTGGTAAATAATGTTAGCCTGTGCATATCAAATAGCTGTTGTAATATTCTGTATTATTTTACTTGTAAATATCCTCCTAAAACTGAGATCTATGGGCATGCATTTTTGGAGAAGGCAATTTTCAATTTCACATAAAGTTCTTTTTAGATGTTACGCATTTCTAATGGACAAACATCAGTTCTAGTATGGTGATATCCTTAAATTTCATGTTCATATTCGCTGCTTGTTCTGTGAAAAAGGGGCAGTGGGGTAGCCTAGTGGTTGAAGCGTTCAATGGCGATCATGGGTTCGTTTCGCGACATGGGTCTAATGTTTGAAGTTTATTGCTGGTGTCACCCACCGTGATACTGTTGCAGTATTGCTATAAGTGGCATAACACCATTCTCACTCAGAAAAAATGGAAAGTCATTGGCTATGTGCTTTGGCACTTGGCCCTGGTGAGATTAAAAGATTAGTTTGGAACCCTATCAGTACTT